CCGATCTCCGCTCCGCCCCGGCCCCGGCCCCGGCCCCGGCCTCGGCCCCGGGGATGCCGCGGGGGCGGCGCGGCTGAGCCCCCCAGCCCCGCTGCGCCGCCGGCCCCGCCCGCCGCCGCCATGGCCGGTAAGCCCCGCAGCGGCTGCGAGGCGCTCCGGGTGGTGGCCCGGTGCCGGCCCATGAGCCGGCGGGAGGAGGCGGCGGGATACGAGCGCGTCCTGGAGCTGGACGTGAAGCTGGGCCAGGTGAGCATCCGCAACCCCCGCGCCGCCCCCGGGGAGCTGCCCAAGACCTTCACCTTCGACGCCGTGTACGACGCCAGCTCCAAGCAGGCCGACCTCTACGATGAGACGGTGCGGCCGCTCATCGACTCGGTGCTGCAGGGCTTCAACGGCACCGTCTTCGCCTATGGCCAGACCGGCACCGGCAAGACCTACACCATGCAGGGCGCCTGGGCGGAGCCCGAGAAGCGCGGCATCATCCCCAGCGCCTTCGAGCACATCTTCACCCACATCTCCCGCTCGCAGAACCAGCAGTACCTGGTGAGGGCCTCGTACCTGGAGATCTACCAGGAGGAGATCAGGGACCTCCTCGCCAAGGACCAGAGCAAGAAGCTGGAGCTGAAGGAGAACCCCGAGACCGGGGTGTACATCAAGGACCTCTCCTCCTTCGTGACCAAGAACGTCAAGGAGATCGAGCACGTGATGAACCTGGGCAGCCAGACGCGCTCCGTGGGCAGCACCAACATGAACGAGCACAGCTCGCGCTCCCACGCCATCTTCCTCATCACCATCGAGTGCAGCGAGACGGGGCCGGACGGCGAGGAGCACATCCGCGTGGGCAAGCTCAACCTCGTGGACCTGGCCGGCAGCGAGCGCCAGAACAAAATGGGGGCCCAGGGAGAGCGCCCCAAGGAAGCCTCCAAGATCAACCTCTCCCTCTCGGCCCTGGGCAACGTCATCTCGGCGCTGGTGGACGGCCGGAGCACGCACATCCCCTACCGGGACTCCAAGCTCACCCGCCTGCTGCAGGACTCCCTCGGGGGCAACGCCAAGACAATCATGGTGGCCACCTTGGGCCCGGCCTCCCACAGCTACGACGAGAGCCTCTCCACCCTCAGGTTCGCCAACAGGGCCAAGAACATCAAGAACAAGCCCCGGGTGAACGAGGACCCCAAGGACACCTTGCTGCGGGAGTTTCAGGAGGAGATCGTCCGGCTGAAAGCCCAGCTGGAGAAACGCGGGATGCTGGGCAAGAAGAGGAGGAGGAGCAGCCGGAGGAAGAAAGCAATGGATGGAGAAGGCACCGTGGACAATGAAGGGGAGGACGAGAATGAGGATGGCCTGGAGAAGACCATGGAGAATTACTTGAAGGAGCAGAAGGAGAGGCTGGAAGAGGAGAAAGCCGCTATCCAGGATGACCACAGCCTGGTGAGTGAGGAGAAGCAGAAGCTGCTCCAGGAGAAGGAGAAGATGATAGAGGACCTGCGGAAGGAGCAGGAGGCCACGGAGCTGCTGGCCATCAAGTACAAGGTTCGTGTTGCCACGCCTGGTGACAAATGGGGCCGGGGTGCCTGCTGTGCCCCCAGCCCCTGGTGTGGAGTGGGAATGGATCCCGAGCAGGGAGCCTGGGGGAGGTGCCCACCACGATGCCCAGCAAGGGGACCTCCCAAGCAGGGTCCCCAAGGGCAGCCCCAGACTCTGGCATGGGGCTGGGCTGGGGTGGCCCTCGGACCTGCGTGGGGACACTGTGGGGACCTGTGTGGGAGCTGCAGGGGGTGGGAGGGAAGGGCCACGGGGGAGAGGGTCGCTGGTGGCACGAGTGTGCTGTGCTCAGCTCTTGTCCCCTTCAGCACAACAAAGCTGTGTGGGAAGGAGGAGTGACGGGAGTGATGCTGCAGATTCGTCCCTGGTGGCCTCGGGAGTGAGCCCAGGGCTGGGGACACGGGCACCTGCCCCCACCTGCCCCCAGTTCTGTCCAGTCCCTGGCTCCCAGTGGGTTCTGTGGGGATTGGCAGGGCCTGGCAGCTCGGCAGGGACCCCCATCCCCCTCCCCACCCCAAATCCTTCCTGGCATCCCAAGCCAGAGCAGGGTGGATGGGGGCACCACTGCTGGCTCAGGGGTGCTCAGGGGTTTGGTGCTGAGGCTGAGAGGGGCCACAGCAGCCCCAGCTGTGCCAGGGTCTGGGGCTGCACCTCCCCCTGCCCCCACTGAGCTGGGGGGTCCTGACCCCTCCCGTGGTGGCCGTGGGGCCGGGACCACAGTCCCAGCAGTGGGGAGGGAGCACCCTGACCCTGGGCATCACACTCAGCATGGCCCCTCTGGCACAGCCCCTCTGGCACTGCCCCTCTGGCACCACTCTGGCCCGGATGCAGGGACTGGGCTGGAGCCCAGGCAGGCAGGGACTCCTCTGGGGGGGTTCATGCCCGGGGTGCCAGAGCTGGGCAGGGGTCCGGACCCTCTTGCATGGCCAGGGTGGTGTTTGTTGCAGCCCCAGGGACGCGTGGCCGTGCCCAGGGATGTGTGACTGTGCCCAGGGACGCGTGGCCGTGCCTGGATGCCTGCACAGAGAGCGTGGGATCGCACTGGGACGTGCCACTGGGGCAGAGCCGTGGGCTGCTGGCTGGCACAGCGGGTGTCCCGTGATGGGTGTCCCGTGACAAGTGTGCTGGCAGAGCAGGATGCCTGGCACAGGGGTCTCTGCAGCCATCCCCCCGTCACAGCGGGGTGCAGGTTCTGGGGTGCAGGCTGGGCTGGGCTGGCTGCTGTCCAGCACAATGTCCCTGTCTGGCTCAGCAGGGCTGGCTCAGGGCCACGGTGTGTCCTGGAACTGCTGAGTAACAAGGCAGGGCCGGAGGCAGGGTGACACCATGTCCCTTTTGGTGGCCTTTGGGGCCGCTCCACGCACAGGGACCCTCTGCCTCTGGGGGTACAGCACAGTGACAGCAGAGAGGTGTCACCTCAGCGAGCACAAATCCTCCTGTGCCAGAGGGGCACAGCCTGCTGTGACGCTCACCACGGTGGGCACTGCCCGTGGGACACTGTGGGGACACTGGGTGGTCTCAGGGTGCTCATGGGCAGCTTTGCCACACGGTGGGGCCAGGCAAGGAGCCACTGGCTCCATAGTGACCACGGCAAAGGCAGGTGAGGTGACAGGGGGGACACTGCACCCTGTCTTATTGTCACACCCGTGGGTGTGGGCTCTGCCTCTGCCACCCAGCTGGGACATGTGGGACATGGAGCTCAGAGAGGTGGGGTCAGCCTGCCCCTGCAGATGTGTGTTGGGCACCCAGATGTGCATTGGGCACCCAGATGTGCTCCTGGGTGCCCAGATGTGTGCCCAGGCAGAGGGGTTGTGCCCCAGGGGAGCTGGCTACGGGGTGTGGGTGCTTCCAAGGGCTGTGCCAGGGGCTGAGGCCGAGGTCAGCAGGAGGGAAAGTGCTGGGAAGTTCTTTGGGTGCAGGAAATTGAGTTCCTGGGAGAGGCTTAGTGCTAAAGGAGATTGGGAGCCTCTTCCTTAGAGGGAATAAATGCTCTGGCAGGGAGGAAACAGCAGCACTGAGAAACCTCTTCATCTGGTGGGGATGGTGTGTGCAGGGGGAGCTCTGTGGGAAGGGATGGCAGCTGGATCATCATCCCATGACCCTCCTGGTCCCCTCCCTGCACCCCAGCAGGGTCCCCAGGGGACACTCAGCGTCAAGGAAAGCAACTGGGACCAAGAGCTGTGTTTGGAGGAGAAGGGGTGAGGGACCCCTGGCACCCCAGTGCCCCCAGCCCTGGCAGGGGATGGCACAGGATGGGGTGGGGGGCTGCCCTTGGGGGTGTCAGCCCCCAGCAGAACAGCCAGCCTGGGACACCATTGGAAGGGAGGAAGGAGGGATCCCCAGGGTCAGGGGGGCTGGCTGGGGCACCCATGGGGGGCTGTGTCCCCCCAGCACTGAACGGCTGCGGGGGTCTCACTGGGTGGGAAAGGGAGGAAGGCACAGCTGGGGGGTGTCCCCTGGCTGCTGGGGGCTGCTGGCACAGCTGTGGGGTGTCCCCTGGGTTCCCCCAGAACCCACAATGCACCCCCTGCAGCTGGAAGGGGAAAAATGGGTGGAAAACCATGGAAATAGAGCCTTGCACCAGGCAGGTGTCGGTGGGGATGGGGGCCACAGGTTTGCCAGAGCCCCCCACTCTGTGCACAGCACCCCCAGGGAGACCCCTGCCCCAGGGACATGTGACAGCAGCCCCGTGACCACCATGTGCCCACCCCTTGGGGTGGCCTGGTGGCCCCCCTGCCCTCAGGGCTGTGGCCATGGCAGTGGGGAGGGGGCCAGGCCCTGTGAGGAGCAGGACCCCCGGATTTGGGGGCCAGAGGGACCTCAAGGGCAGGTGCCCAGTGGGTGAGGGTGGCCACGTGCTGGTGGCAGAGGGGACATTACAGAGATGGTGGCCGAGCTGTCTCTGTGGCTGGGACATTGATTTTTGCAGCTGTGTGTGGTGTCCTGGGGACATCTGTGTCCGTCCCTGCTGCTGCCCCGGAGGTGCAGCCGTGGGGGGCACAGGGTGTCCCCTGTCCCCATTTGTCCCTGAGGGACACCCTGACACGGGAGCAGGGCTGCAGGGCACGAATACACACACGTGGTGTGCATAGGACACATACAGAGCGTGCACACACACACACAGAGCGTGTACACAGACACAGAGCGTGCACACACACACAGAGTGTGCATACACACACACAGAGCGTGCACACAGACACACAGAGCGTGCACACACACACACAGTGCACACAGATACACACAGTGTGCACACACACACACAGAGCGTGCATACACACACACAGAGTGCACACAGATACACAGAGTGTGCATACACACACGTGGTGTGCACAGGGACACACACAGAGCCTGTACACACACACACACACACACACACACACAGAGCGTGCACACACACACACAGAGCGTGCACACACACAGAGCGTATAGACACGCAGTGTGCACACACAGACACACAATGCGCACACACACACACACACAGTGTGCACACACAGACACACACACAGTGTGCACACAGACACACACAGTGTGCAAGTACACACACAGTGGGCACATAGACACGCAGTGTGCACACACAGACACACAATGCACACACACACACACACAGTGTGCACACACAGACACACACACAGTGTGCACACAGACACAGGGTGCACACACACACACAGTGTGCACACACAGACACACACAGCGTGCAAGTACACACACAGTGGGCACATAGACACGCAGTGTGCACACACACTCACACACAGTGTGCACACACACACACAGTGTGCACACAGACACAGGGTGCACACACACACACAGTGTGCACACACAGACACACACAGCGTGCAAGTACACACACAGTGGGCACATAGACACGCAGTGTGCACACACACTCACACACAGTGTGCACACACACACACAGTGTGCAAATACAGAGTGCACACACACAGACAGTGTGCACACACACACACACACAGAGTGTGCACACACACACACACACACGGTGTGCACCTGCATGTACACAGACCCCCGGTGCTCCCACACGTGTCCATGTGGGTGTGAACATGTTCAGTCTGACACAGGATGTGCTCCCTGTGTGTGTGTACTTTGCATTTCTGTGTGCACAGGGACAGGGATGTGTGCAGAGCCCCTGTGTGTGTGTGTATTTGTGTGTGTTTATGTGTGTTTATGTGTGTTTATGTATGTGTTTGTGTGTGTTTGTACATTTCTGCATGCACAGCCCCTGTGTGTGTTTATTTGTGTGTTTTTGCATTCCTGTCCATCCCTGCCCACCCCTGCCCATCCCTGCCCATCCCTGCCCATCCCTGCCCGTTCCTGTCCATCTCTGCCCATCCCTGCCCACCCCTGTCCATCTCTGCCCGTCCCTGCCCGTCCCTGCCCATCCCTGTGCATCCTTGCCCACCCCTGGCCACCCCTGCCCGTCCCTGCCCACCCCTGGAGCTGCAGCTGTGCAGAAGGAAGCGGCCCCGGAGTTGCCCGGGCTCGGAGCTGGTGGCCCTGGGGAGGGGACACGTCACCCTGTCACAGGCTGTGCTGTCACCCGCCCCCCTGTCACAGCCTGTGCTGCTGTGCCCGTGGTGCTGAACCAGCCCCGGGCTGCTGGCTGGCCATGGAGTCATGGAACCGTGGGGAAAGCCCTTCAAGGATCACCGAGCCCAGCCAGCCCCAGCTCTGCCCAGGCCACACTGTCCCCTGTCCCCAAGTGCCACAGCCACAGGGCTTTGAAACCCTCCAGGGATGGGGAGCCCACCCCAGCCTGGGCAGCTGTGCCAGGCATGGACAGCCCTTTCCAGGTGGGAATTGTTCCCAGTGCCCAGTCTAATCGTGCACTGCCTCCTCCCCATCAGCAGGGCTCCGAGCAGAGGGGCACTGAATGCTCCCACATCCCTGAGAGCAGGGCTGGGGACAGGGATCAGGGATGGGGACATGGATCAGGAATGGGGACAGGGAGCAGGGATGGGGACAGGGATCAGGGATGGGGACAGGGAGCAGGGCTGGGGACAGGGATTGGGGATAGGGACAGGGATCAGGGGTAGGGACAGGGATTGGAGATGGGGACAGGGATCAGGGATGGGGAAAGGGATCAGGAACGGGGACAGGAATCAGGGGTGGGGACAGGGATCAGGGATAGGGACAGGGATCGGGTAGGGACAGGGAGCAGGGCTGGGGACAGGGAGCAGGGATGGGGGTCACCACCCAGTGAGGGTGGCGAGGGGTGGGGACAGGGAGCAGGGCTGGGGACAGGGAGCAGGGATGGGGACAGGGGTCAGGAATGGGGACAGGGAGCGGGGCTGGGGACAGGGAGCAGGGATAGGGACAGGGAGCAGGGCTGGGGACAGGGATCGGGGATGGGGACAGGGATCGGGGATGGGGACAGGGATCGGGGGTAGGGACAGGGGTCAGGGATAGGGACAGGGGTCAGGAATGGGGACAGGGATCAGGGATGGGGACAGGGAGCAGGGATGGGGACAGGGATCAGGGATGGGGAAAGGGATCAGGAACGGGGACAGGAATCAGGGGTGGGGCCAGGGATCAGGGATAGGGACAGGGATCGGGTAGGGATAGGGAGCAGGGCTGGGGACAGGGATTGGGGATAGGGACAGGGATCAGGGGTAGGGACAGGGATTGGAGATGGGGACAGGGATCAGCGATGGGGAAAGGGATCAGGAACGGGGACAGGAATCAGGGGTGGGGCCAGGGATCAGGGATAGGGACAGGGATCGGGTAGGGATAGGGAGCAGGGCTGGGGACAGGGAGCAGGGATAGGGACAGGGAGCAGGGATGGGGACAGGGATCAGGGATAGGGACAGGGATCGGGTAGGGACAGGGAGCAGGGCTGGGGACAGGGAGCAGGGATGGGGGTCACCACCCAGTGAGGGTGGCGAGGGGCAAAGCCCACGGGCAGGGGTGGGGGTGCCAGCCCTGCCCCCTGCCCTGAGCCCCCGTCCCCTCCAGGCCATGGAGAGCAAGCTGCTGATCGGGGGCAGGACCATCGTGGACCACACCAACGAGCAGCAGAAGATGCTGGAGCTGAGGCGACAGGAGATCGCCGAGCAGGTACCGGGGGGTGACAGGGGTGTCCTGGGGTCCCTCCCTGTCCCCATCCCGGTTCCAGCCGTGTCCCTGCCCCCCAGAAACGCCGGGAACGTGAGATGCAGCAGGAGATGCTGCTGAGGGACGAGGAGACCATGGAGCTGCGCGAGACCTACACGTCCCTGCAGCAGGAGGTGGAGATCAAAACCAAGAAGCTCAAGAAGGTGAGAGCACGGCGGGTGGGGACAGGGACAGGGATGAGGGGGTCCCTCCCCAGGGCTCCCGGGGGCAGGGCTGAGGTGCTGCTGTCCCCTCCCAGCTCTACGCCAAGCTGCAGGCTGTGAAGGCTGAGATCCAGGACCAGCACGACGAGTACATCCGCGTGCGCCAGGACCTGGAGGAGGCCCAGAACGAGCAGACCCGGGAGCTGAAGCTCAAGTAGGTGTTGGTGAGGGGCTTGGGGGTCTTGGCTTGAAGAACTGGGTGTGCAGAGCAGGGCTGGGGGGCTCAGAGCAGGGCTGGGGGCTCAGAGCAGGGTTGGGGGCTCAGAGCAGGGCTGGGGTGTTAAAGTAGGGTTGGGGGGCTCAGAGCAGGGTTAGGGGACTCAGAACAGAGTTGGGGTGCTCAGAGCAGGGCTGGGGGGCTCAGAGCAGGACTGGGGGCTCAGAGCAGGACTGGGGGGCTCAGAGCAGGGCTGGGGGCTCAGAGCAGGGCTGAGGGGCTCAGAGCAGGGTTGGGGTGCTCAGAGCAGGGTTGGGGGGCTCAGAGCAGGACTGGGGGCTCAGAGCAGGGTTGGGGTGTTAAAGCAGGGTTGGGGTGCTCAGAGCAGTGCTCAGGGGCTCAGAGCAGGGTTGGGGGCTCAGAGCAGGGCTGGAGTGTTAGAGCAGGACTCAGGGGCTCAGAGCAGGGCTGGGGGGCTCAGAGCAGGGTTTGGGGGCTCAGGGGCTCAGAGTGGGTGCAGAACTGGAGGGATTGACCCCACCCAGAGGCAGGGACAGCTGAGCCCTGCCCGGCTGTCAGTGGTGGCACAAGCCAGGAGCTGTGCACTGGGTGAGCAGCACAGGGGGTGTCCAAGAGTTACCGGGAAAGGGGAAAAACCAGAAAATGTTCCAGCAGAAACCCTGGCTGTGGCTGAACCTGGGGGGTGGCCGGGGGCAGGTGACCCCCGAGGGCACCTGGTGACCTGCTGTGGCCCCACAGCATCCTCAGAGGGACAGCAGCTCTGGGTACTCGGGGTGACCCCACCTCCCTGCAGCTCCGGGCTCCCTGGCAGAGTTTTCCCTCCGGGAGCCTCCCGAAGCTGCTCCACCGCCCCCGGGGGTTTGTTCTCACTTCAAACACTCCTCTCTTTCAGCGTCTGTAGCCCCCCAGCTATTTACAAGCACTGCAGAGTTTGCAGGGTGAAACTGTTTCACTACAAACAGAATTCCATCTCCAGCTTTGCCCCTTCTCTCCTCCAGCGTGGTTCTGACTGGAAGCCGCAGCTCACTCGTTGCCTCAAAACAGTTTTTGACAGCTGCTCCACTTGCCCAAAAAACACGGGAGAAAAGATTCCCTCTGGGGTCCACTTGGCATTGTTGAGCTTTCCTTGATTTTCAGGCCGGGCAGCAGGAAAGCAGACATGGCAGGAGAGGAGGGAAGGGTCCTGGAGCCCCTGAGCCCCCAGGTTCCTCTCTGATGCCCGTCCTCTCCTGCCTCTCCCCTCTCCCTTTCTGCATCTATTGCTTCAACCTCTCCCCTTCCATCACGCTGTCATCCTCCGGATGTTTCTTCTCCCTGCCATGTCTCCTTCTCTTCCTGCCTTTCCTCTCCCTTTCTGCCTGTTTTCTGTCTCCTGTCACGTTAACCCCTTCTCCTCCTGCTCCATCCCTCAGGTATTTGATCATCGAGAACTTCATCCCTCCCGAGGAGAAGAACAAGATCATGAACCGCCTGTACTTCGACGGCGATGAGGACCAGTGGAAGTTCCAGCCGCTGGTTCCCACCGGAGGGTGCGTCCCCGTGTCCCTGTCCCCAGGGTACAGCCCCTGTCCCTGTCCCTGCCAACACACACGAGTGGCCCCGGGGCTGGGGGACCCTTGTAGGTGCCCAGGGGTGGGAATCCCCTCCAGGGCCAGCCCCTCCTCGCCGATGCAGCTCCCCGGGGCGCGGCGCCGTCGCTCACGGCCCCGCTCCGTGTGCTCCAGGAGCAGCTCCCAGATGAAGAGGCGCCCGACCTCGGCCGTGGGCTACAAGAGGCCCATCAGCCAGTACGCCAGGGTGGCCATGGCCAGGAGATCCCACCCCCGCTTCCGGGTACGGCATGGGACACCGCTGGGGCTGGGTGTGCTGGGTAAATGGGGAGGGTGGGTGGATGTGGGTGGGGATGGAGGGATGGAGGGATGATGGATGGATGGATGGATGATGGATGGATGATGGATGGATGGACGATGGATGGATGGATGATGGATGGATGATGGATGGATGGACGATGGATGGATGGATGATGGATGGATGATGGATGGATGGACGATGGATGGATGGATGATGGATGGATGATGGATGGATGGACGATGGATGGATGGATGATGGATGGATGATGGATGGATGGACGATGGATGGATGGATGATGGATGGATGATGGATGGATGGACGATGGATGGATGGATGATGGATGGATGGATGGATGTGTGGATGGATGGATGGATGCATGGATAGATGGATGGATGGATGGATGGATGGATCCATGAATGGATCCATGAATGGAAATGGATGGATGGATGGATGGATGGATGGATCCATGGATGGATGGATGGATCCATGGATGGATGTGGATGGGTGGGTATATGGATGGAGGTGAATGGAGAGCTAGAGATGGATGGATGAAGGTGGATGGTGAGTGGATGGCTGGAGGGATGGATAACACTGGGAGAGAAGAAGGAGTAATCAAGCTCACGAGGATCTGGGATGCACCAATTCAAGCTCCCTGGAGCTTTATCCTCCCAGCTCCAGTCTGGAGCTCCTGGCTCTCCTGCCATTGGAGAGGACAGGGCTGCTCAGCCCTGGGGCAGGCTGGGAGAGCCAGAGCAGAGCCTTGAGCCACAGCCCAGTGCCAGGGCAGCCGGGAGAGGATCCCACTCCCCCGGCAGCGCAGGTCACCAGAGCTGGAGCCGTGTTCTCCCCACGGTGACTCCCGTGCTGGCTGTCCCTGTGCCCTGGGCAGGCTGAGAACATCATGTTCCTGGAGCTGGACCTGTCCCCCCCGGCCATCTTTGAGTTTGAGCGCAGCAGGGACCCGGCGGAGCAGGACCCGCGGGCGCTGCACCTGGAGAGGCTGATGCACCTGGACAGCCTCCTGGAGCGGCCGGCGGCCTCCCGCGTGCGCAAGTCCCGCTCCTGGTGAGTGACAGCGGCGCGGGGACACGGCCGGGACGTTCTGTGGGGGACAGGGGGCTGGGACAGGCAGAGCCTGCCATGAGCTGCTGGCTGTGGTCAGATTGAAATGCTGCTGAGGCTGTGCTTGGGAGCAGCATCGTGTGCAGCTCTGTGCAGGAGGGACCTGGAGCTGCTGAGAGAGCCCAGAGGAGACCCCAGAGCTGCTCCAGGGCTGGAGCCAGGCTGGCAGAGCTGGGGGGGCTCACCTGGAGAGGAGAAGGATCCAGGGAGAGCTCAGAGCCCCTGGCAGGGCCTGGAGGGGCTCCAGGAGAGCTGCAGAGGGACTGGGGACAAGGCCTGCAGGGACAGGACCCAGGGAATGGCTCCCACTGCCAGAGGGCAGGGCTGGACGGGAGATTGGGAATTGGGAATTGTTCCCTGGCAGGGTGGGCAGGCCCTGGCACAGCTGGGGCTGCCCCTGGATCCCTGGCAGTGCCCAAGGCCAGGCTGGACACTGGGGCTGGGAGCACCTGGGACAGTGGCAGTGTCCCTGCCATGGCAGGGGGGGCACTGGATGAATTGTAAGATCCCCCAACCCAAACCTTTCCATGATAATCCTCTCTCCCAGACCCAAGATGTTCTCCCACCCAGCAAGGGCTGCCCTTTGGTGCTGCCTGCACAGCAAACAGCCAGGAAAAGGGCTGGATTTTGGGGAGAGCGGGAAGGCTCTGCAGGGCAGCAGCCCCAGAGTGTCTGTGTGTCCCCAGGTGCCAGACGCCGCGGTCGCTGCCGTCCTCCACCACCCACGTGTCCCTGGCCTCCAGCTCCCCGTGTGCCGCCCCTCTGCCGGCCCAGCAGTGACCGCCCGGACGCCTCGTCCCGGACTGAGCCCCCGAGCGCCGAGGGGGGCCCGGCCCCGCGGCCCCAGCTCGTCCTTGTCCTCAGCTACTTTGTGTGTGTTTGTGCGAGACACGAACGGCCCCGGGCCAGGGCGGCTGCCCTCCCTCCCTCCCTCCCTCCCTCTCTCTCTCCTCCCCTCCCCTCCCCTCTCCCCTTTCTCCGCCCCCCCGATCCGGATCTGTCACTTTATTTATTTAACCTATTTATTTATGGAGCGGAGGCAGGATTTGTGCTCGGACTGATGGACATCCAGGCTGGCGGTGGGCACCGTGCTGAGCCCCCCAAGGTTTGCCCAGCTCCCAGCTCTCCCCACATCGCCTGGCACAGAGCTGGGCATGGGGACACCACCGTGGCACAGGGCTGGGCAGAGGGACAGCACCAGGACACTGCTCCATCCCGGCAGGAGGGGCATGGGTCCCTCTCCAGGGGCTTTGGCAGAAGCTGAGGCTGCCTGGCCCCTGGTGCTGGCTTTGCTGTGCTGGATCCCAGGGAATTTGGAGATTTCTGCACGGATTGGGAGACTTTGTGGTGGCAGTGCCTTGTCAGAGTCCCCAGCGGGACTCCCCAGCCTGCATGGACTCTGGTGGCAGCAGGGACACCTCACCGACTGCGGGCACGGCTGGCACTGCAGGAGCACCAGCTCCACCCACAGGGCTTGCAGAGTCACCAGACCAAGTCACCCAAAGGCCAGGGCTTTGTCCGGCTGTGCCACGCCCTGGGGACACTCTGGGGACACTCTGGGGACAGCCCCACCGAGGCGCCCGGCTCGCTCCCGTCGCTGACCGTGGGTGTGCAGCTCCTGACACAGCCCGAGGTGGAAAGGTGGAAATCTCCATCCCCTTCCAGCACCTCCAGAGACACACCCAGCCTGGGAGCAGCGCTGTCTGCGAGCTCCAGAAGCTCCATCTGCAGCTAAAGGCAACGGGGACATGAGGGACAAGGAGGTGACACCCAGGGTAGCGATGGCATCGCTGTCCTCTGGACGATGGCACACAGAGGTCACCTCTGTCACCTCCTGCATGGGACAAACTCCCTGGTGGGTTGTGGAGGGCTGGCTGTGGAATGGTGATGGGTAAGAGGGAAGCCACGAGGGCTCTGGGGATGGGATCCTGTCCCAGCAGCTGCAGGGACAGCGCTCGGTGTTCCTGTGGGACATGGCTCTCAGGTGGAGGGAAGCTGGTGAAGACCCATCCTGGCAGTGCCAGGCCAGCAGCTCTGGTGTCCCTGGGATGGTGGAGGTGGGGACATCCCTGTGATGGATGAGATCCTTGTGGATGAGGGAGTGACCCCTGGCTCTCCTGGGTCAGCAAAGGGCCCGACAGGGAGGGCAGCTCAGAGAGGATTGCAGCTGAGGAATGTCCCCTGGCAGCAAAGGGAATTCCTTCACAGGGTGGATGAGGTTGGAAGGGACCCTGGAGCTCTCAGGGATGTGGCCAGGTGGGTTTGGAGTCTCCCAGGGAAGGAGACCCCAGCACTGTTCTGGGCAGGCTGCTCTTTGCTGTTGGACTGGTCCCTGCTCCCCGTGGTGCTCCTGCACTCAGGGCAGGGCTGAGGGAGGCGAGGGAGCAAGGCACAGGCCTGGGATGGGGACATCCAGAGGGAAGCAGGAGCTGTGCAGAGCTCAGAGGCAGGCAGGTCCCTCAGCAGCCGTGTCCCATCCACACGTGGCTGTGCTGGGCCATCCACTGCCCCTCCCAGCTGTCCTGACACATCCCTGCACTGCCCAGGGGATCTCCTCCCCTTCCATCTAACACTGCCCTGCCTTGAGCTCTCCATCATTGCCCTCTGCCCCCCCCTTCCCTTCCCTTTCCATCTGTGCCCCAGAACACCCTCTGTCCCTCCAAAACCTTTGTCCCCTTCTCCCCCAGCCTGGCACCTGCCTCGGGGGCACCTTGGCAGGCTGTAGCTTGCTCTGAGGACTGAGCTCCTCCCTCTGGCAGCAGCCAGGTCCCGGCTGTGCTCAGCCTGGCAGGAGGGAGCAGGGGAAGGTGTTGGAGGAGTGACAGCTGGGTCCCTTCCATGCTGTGGGGTCAGGGCTGGCCACAGGGACCCCCACAGCCAGGGGTGTCCCGGGGCATCCCCCAGGCCCAGCTGGCCCTGTGAAACCATCCCGGCCCTGGCCAAGGCCAGGCTGGGCATGGCTGGGAGCACCTGGGACAGTGGAAGGTGTCCCTACCCAGGACAGGGGTGGCACTGGATGAGCTTTAAGGTCCCTTCCAGTCCAAACCATTCTGTGATTCCCTGATTCTGTGGAATACAGTGGTTGGGAGAGCTGGTTTGTTATTTAATTTCCTGGAAAGCATCTGGGAGTCGGAGTCAGGAAGCACAGACTCAGAATGAGGGGAAGCCTGGGGGGCTGCAGGAATAGGATTTCCTCCCCTTCTTGTTTTCTAGCAGTCCCAGTTGCCCTTAGTGGATCAGCAGCTTGTGCAGCCCCAAAGTGATGGACCAGAGACCTTCTCTGGCCTCTGTTCTCACCCAGGGTGTGGGAAGCAACTCAGGAGCTGAGGGTGTCCTCATGCCCCGGGCCATGGAGCATCCTGGGAAGGGTGGCTGTCCCCCAGGAAGGGTGGCTGTGACCGGGAAGGGTGGCTGTGGTCACGGAGGGATCCTCTGGAAGTCCTTCCAGCAGAGCTCTGGTCACAGATCCCTAGGAAGCCCTTCCAGCAGAGCTGTGGTGACAGTGGGATCCTCAGGAAGCCCTTCCAGCAGAGCTGCGGTCACCGAGGGATCCTCAGGAAGCCCTTCCAGCAGAGCTGTGGTCATGGTAGGATCCTCTCTGTGGATGTGGCACTTGGGGACAAGGTGGCCTTGGCAGTGCTGGGGGCGTGGTTGGGCTCTGTGGTCTCCCAGGGCTTTTCCAAGCCAAAGGAGTCTGTGATTCCAGGCACGCAGAGATTTGTTCTGTTTCCCATGGAAAAGGTCACTTGGATCAGGTGAGTCACAATAAATGCCACTGAAAAGGGACTGAAGTATGAAAAGGGAAGATGAAAGGTCCCTCAAAGGCACTGGATGTCCCCAAATCACCTGGTCAGATTTAACCCATGCAGAGGGAATTTTGGTGGAGTGGCCTCTGGGCTGCCAGTGAGGGGTCTGAGATCTCACAGAGAAGAGGCTGAGTGTCCAAACAGGACACTTGATAAACAGGATAAACATGAGGAATGTCTTTAAAACGGGGAAAGGGGAACTTGAGGGGTTCTCTGCTCAATTTAACTTCACCCCCTGAAAGGGCTGAACGGATCAACAAAATCCACCTGAAAATCCTGGCAGGGGAACACGTGAAGGTAACAACCAAGGTGGGCTGGTCCAAAGCAAATCCCACCAAATGCCACCACAGCAGCTCCATGCTCGGCTGGAATGCAAGACCCTGCAGGTGAGATGGCACAATGTGGGACAGAATGAGGGATTTTGGTGAAACTCTGACACTCCCCCCGAGGAGAGGCCTGAGTGGAGCTAACAATGGGATTATTCCAAGAGAAACAGGTCATAGGGAGGCAGAGACAAAGGGGATTTGTTCTCCTTCAGCCCAGCCTTCCTGGGGATTTTCCTGCTGGGGAAAACCCTGCTCTTCAACCAGGAACGGGAGCATTTGTGATGGTTTTGTCAAAATCAACAGGAATGATGTGAAAACATGAAAGAAACAGGGTGATTTCCACCTGGGAACAATGTGGAAAGCAGAGGTCATGGTCTGCCAATACCAGAAATGCAGCTGCAAAAGGAAGGGATTATCCCATTGCTGCTACCAAGGGAAGAGAGGACAAGAACTCCTGGTCCTGAAACACAGCAGGGAATCTTTAGATGAGAATTTGGGACACCAAACTTCCCAAGGCTGGCACTGGAGGAGCTCCCCTCTGTAGGACACAGTGCTGTTCCAGGGGAGGTTTTAAGGGCAGATGGGACTGATGGCACCAAGGCCATCAAGGGCACAGGAGGGCACAGGATGGTGGGACAAGAGCTGGACATCCCTCCCAGTCCTGCTTCCCGTGGGTCTGTGGTTTGAAGTGACAGCCTGTGAGCACAAGGCCCCCGAGGGACAGTGACAGATCAGAGCATGGCCACAGTCAGGAGCAGAGATCAGGCATGGAAAGCCAAAAAAGGGATTTTCACACCAAGTGGAGGTGCCAAAGCCATTCTGAAGTGCCAGCTCTGGCAAAGTTCACAGCACAGCCCGTGGGGACAGAGGGTGAGCTCGGGCAGGTAAAAATGCTCCAATCACCAACAATCCTCTTTGCCCATTCCCAGCTTCTTTTTTCTTCCTCTGTCAAGGGCAGGATTGAAGCTCTCGAGATGGAATTTCACATTCAGACTCAGGTGTTTATTATTTCCCATCTCTGTTACAAGTTGTGAGTTCTGCAGCACTCTACTAACAAGCTACAAAATGGCCAACCATCTTTCCCTACAGGGTCTTTTAAGGCTAAACTATCCAATTAAGGAATGACACCTAAATTATTTTCACTTTTAACCCAATAACTGATCCCTCCAAGTCCACAGGGCAGACTTTTCTGTCCAACTACAAAATACCACCCAAATCCATGAAGAAGGAAGAAGGTGAGGAAGAAGGAGCAGCCTCCACCCTAAAACCTCCATCTTGCCCCATATAGATGACAATATCCTAAAACCCCAAACTCTTAAATTTTCCACCCTGTGATATCACACACTTCTAACCAACTCCACACCCACAATCCCAGTGCTATCTATCAATTTTGGAAACCTTTTCCAAGGCCTCAGGTAAAATACAGTATTTTCTTGTGGCTCTGTGCCCTTCAGCACAGACAGTTTAAAATTCTCAGCATCCAGGGTTCCAACATCTCTTCCCTTGCAAATTGTGCAGTGCCTGGTTCCCAGTGGGGCTGCTGGGCTCAGCTGCTGGGCTGGGCTGATGGCCAGGAGGGGTTCCTGGCTCCCTGCTGTCCCTCCCAGCTCCAGGAGCAGCGTGCCTGGATGGCCTCGGCTCCTGCAGACATCAATATTGATGGCCCAAGCTCATAAAATCTGCAAGGCAAGGAATACCCAGGGGGGTCTGGGCCTGCAGTTCTGCCTGGGTTGGTTGGTGGTGTTTGCTCCTTCCTCAGGGCCACATCAGCTTCTCCCAAACATGTGCCGTGGTTCCAGGGCTGGGGACATTCCCTGGATGCAGCAGGGAGGGGCATCCCCTCAGATCCCAGAGCTCTTTGTTCCCCTGGAAGAACCTCCCCTTGCAGTCCTACAGAACAC